TAAGGACTGGAGTGGTATTTTTCACCTACTAAATTTTTTTAATCTTTACAAATTAATTATAAATCTCTTATACTTAGGATTGGAGGGAGTACAAAACTACATTATTTCATGACTATAAGATGTCACAATGTCTCTCGTTTTATCTCAAAGAGCTGATAATCAAAGGTAAATAAGGACAAAAAGTCAGAAGATCGATGAGACATTAGAATGCCTAAGCCTGAATCAACATTACCTTGGTAGAAGAAAAAGGAATGGATTTGACGACTCGACGAGGCAGGAAGGAGGCTTGGTTAGAGGTCTTGGTAAAGATCAAGTTCTTTGTGTGACCAGGCTTCAAGTCTTTTTCCAAGAAGAGAAGAGATGCGAAGGGATTATGTTGGAGTTGGGTCTCGGGCTCATCATAGATAATGAATACGCCACCTCCATACTTCAGAAATGACGCAGCTGAGTCATCACCGTAATCATACTTCGTATGCACTGGAGTGCCACCGCCTGATGGATTAACATCGTATCCAAAGTACTTAAGAAAACCATGTCAATTTTGAACTTCATGGAAGAAATGTCTATAAGATGATCAATATTATGACTAATATTTTTTAGAATTCAAAGTATGACTGTGGATTCAAAGCATGACTGCAAAAGCACTTTATGACTAATGCAAAGGTAGCTTTTTAGAATTCAAAGATATTTTTGCCCTTACATTTATATTGTTCTTATGCTTTTCTCTCTCTCTATATATATATATATATTTACTTTCCAATCAGTTTTTACTTATTTGTTTTAATATTCGGAAACAATTTTTAACAGTTGTTATAATATTTTTTATTTTTAATATTATTTTTCACTGTATATTTGCATAAATTATAGAGTATGTCATTCAATTAATTATGTAATATTATTTGGTTCAAAAATTTTCACATTAATATGATTTTTAATTTAAATATATTTTATTAATTAAATATAAATTTTTCATATTATAATAATTTAAAATTATTATATTTTGTAAATCCATATTTTTAATCATTTCTCGTTCATTAATAAAAGTTATACCTATTTTGTTCATTTTACAGACAAAACTTATTCAATCGTAATCCACAATTTTTTTACTTTACAAACTAATTTTTATAAAAGTCAATCCAAACACAAATCGTACTATTCAATCTAAAAAAGTAAGTTACTTTTCTACCCCTAATCCAAACGGACCCATTATGAAAACAAGTTCAAAAGCAAAATATATCTCAAGAAATTTGTATTTCCGCGGGAGAGTTATAAACTTATAAACTGTACACTTTACTTTGAGCCTCCCAACGTGGGACTCATAGAACACTCTACTGTACTAACCGGCTGAGTGGAGGAGATCTGTGATAGATGTGGGCATGGCAGTGGTGGGAAGCCTGGATTTCCAGTAAAGTTCTGGTGGTGGCAAATTAGCAGCATGGGCAATCTGTAATTTCATTTATACAATATATATAAATACAAATACTTAATAGTTTCACGGGCCAACAGGCAAAAGAAAATACACAAGAAAGGAAGAGGAAGCTCACTGTGAGAAATGCAACGAGGGGAAGGAGTGAAACCTTCATTATTGGAGGAACTTCTTGGTACTGAGACTGCAAATAAAATGATCCTATGATAATAATATAAAAGAGGAGCTGAGAGGAACCATATAAAGATGGAGAATAATGGCAAAAGATAGTAGTACTGTTCTGCTTGTGATATATAGGACCAAGGCTTGGAAACCTTGCTTTTTGCAGGTCACTTTTTTTATATTAAAAATAATGGTAGAATAATAAATTAATAAAGTTTCTGGAAGATGTATCCACTTTTCAAACAGTTGTTCAAACATGTGAAGAGAAGTTGAAACATTTGCTTTTATTGAGCCCTCATGGATATGTTATTTTCATTCTTTCAACGTTTTACTACCCATTTCTGTAGGGGCTAAATTTATCAAAATAAATAAATATAATCTTCCAAATAATTCTAAGCAATTATCCATCATGTTTTATTTAGTTTGCTAGAGTTTTTTTTTTTTTGGCATCATTTAGTTTGCTAGAGTTTTATGGGAGAAACTAGACATGTTATAATATACGTCATATGGAATTATTAGAAGTGAGTTCACTATAATTATAAAAAGTGTAGCGTGTGTCTGTATTATATTGATTCTAAATTTATCGCTTAACAAGATGGAAAAACTAGGAATGAATTTTGAAAGTGATTTTCCAGGTATAGCCCGTAGAAAGAAAAACTATCATCTTTTTAAAAATATGATTTGTTAACATTCTTAAAAACAGCTGGTCACAAATCTCCCTATGTAGATGCTTGCGAGTCTTTTGATCAATGCAATTTCCTCCAAAAAACTACGGGGTGTTTGGATAAATACAAAACCATAATTTTAAAAGCATTTTTACAATATACGAAGTAAGTATGTAGAGAAATTTGTCTCGATTTGTGAAAAAAGTACTTTTCAAAAGCATTTTTGGAGTTAGGCGAACACGCCGGTGCCAACTTTAATAAAAGTTACTTTCACTGCTACTAAATACAATAAGATAGATAACTAATTAATCAAAATTAAAAAAAATTGAGTTAATTATTTGTAAAAAATGTGATATTTTTTTAAAATATCATTTAATCATTTGCGCTAGAAACTATTTATTTTAATTTAAAGGGAAAACCATATTAGAGGTACGTATACTTTTTTTCAATTTTCAATTTGGTACCTATGTGTTTTTTGTTCTTAACTAAATCTTTATTTTTCCTCTATTAACATCATTAATCCTTATGTAGAGACTAAAAATATCAATAGAACAAAGTTATAAGAGCTAATGTTGCTAAAAAGATAAAATTAAATGTTTAATTAAAGAGAAAAAAAACACATAGGTACCAAATTAAAAATTGAGAGAAAGTATAGGTACCTTCAATATGGTTTTCCCTAATTTAAATATATAATTAATAAAAATAATTCAAAATATTAAAAATTTAGAAGAAGAAGAAGAAGCAAGGCATATCACTAACAGATGCTAAAATCAAATAAACCAAAAGCAATCAAATCAATCACCCACCCAACCATAATGTAGTTCAATTATTCAAGAATATAAAAGGCAAAACGACAATAAAGACGGGCCACTATTGTTGTCCATTTTTTCGGCCATAAACATTGCCTCTTCATTCACCACTTGTTAGAGTAGTTTATTGGAGAACAGGTACTTGAGCGTGATTTAATTTTCTTTCCTCTATTATGCTTTCCTTCGCTTTGGAAGAGAAAATGGAAGGAGAGTTCATCACTCTCCATTTTTAGTATATTTAAAAAGAGATTAAGAATATATTTGGAGGGTTATCAATAAATTGCTAATTCCATCCGATTCTCTATTGTAATTCACATTCTTTGAGAAGAAAACTCTTCTATATTCACTTTCATTCCCGAATTGACATGTGGAACTCGTTCAGACTCTGCTTCAACCCCTCTCTGCTTGCTTGTATATGATTTTTTTTTTTGGGTAACTCAATGTTTTGAAAAAATTTGGAAAAAAACTACAAGAAAAAAATAATAAAAGCACAATCTATTGATTAAGTAATGGCACAAGTCTCATGGCACAATATATGGATAACAACTAGCAACAGTCTCTTTCCCTCTTTTAAAGAGATTTTATTAATACTAGTACTCTTTAGGTTATGGTCCAAATTGTCTTAAAAGCTTGTGCATAGGTACTGTAATTGTTTGGGAGTTATTATTGGACTAATATTACTCCAAAAGTGTTAAAAAAAAAAGGGGTGAAATAATCTAACTATTAAAAAAAGTTCACTGTTACATTTTTAACAGTCAAGAACGATATTATATCTTTTTTAACACTTCTGGGGCAATATTGATAAATAAAAAAATTCTGAATACCCACAATTCGCTCACAAAAATTTTGAAGGCAAAATTATACCTTAATCTGATTTTTTTATGAGTTACAATTCTTTTAATAGATTTAGTCTTTTTGATAAGTTAAATTTTGAAAATGACTTAAATTTTAATACACTTGCTTTTATTTTTACTCCTCTAGTCCTATTTATAAGGCACTTCCAACATATTTTATACAGATCAAGAAAAACCTTAAAAGGTATTAACTCTCCATTAAAATATAATAATTTTCCAATTTTACCCATATTTAATATATACACATTTTAAAAAAGATAACCACCTATACCATAATAAATGAAGGACAAAATAGTACATTCACACTAAAAATTTAATGAAGTGACTTATAAATAGAACCAATAAAAACTTCTTTCTCTACCCTATAATAGGACCAGAGGAGTACCTCTGATTGATTATAGGTCTTTATACTAATTATAATAGTTTTTCACAATCTCTCGCTCGCTCTCTATACGAATAAGTGTATATCTGGAAAAATTATATTTCTTACATATTTATTATCTTTAACCAATTTTAATATTTTCTTGATTTATATATGTAATTTAGTTATTTGTAGTTTATAAAAAGAAATGGCATAATTAGTAGCACTCATTTAAAGACATGGATACCTTTTCAAATGTGTAAGATGACTAGAAGATAATCTCTGGTAAGAATAAAAGCTTGGATCCACCTTTTTACAACTACCAAAAGCACAATTTCCAACAAGAAAGAAAAGCATTGTGTGAAGTATAACTTAGTAGTTCATTTAGTAATAATTATTAATGACATGAATACTTCCTTTAATTTATAAAAAGAATGAAAAGAGGCTAATGCGTCGTTCTAGGAATTAAAGTTTACATGCATGTTTTACACTTGGAAAAAGCACAATTTCCAACAACATTTAGTCAACAAATTGTGTGAAGAAAAACTGAAAACTTCATTTAACAATTAATTGATGACGTGAATAGTTATCGACAAATAATTACGCTCGGTAAAATCACAATTCCCAATAAAGAACTAAAAGTTCTATGTATAAAGAGTTCAACAGGTATGAACAGGGAAAAACTCAACAATTCAATTGACAATTCCAACATCCTCTCCATCCATGGATGAAATTGGAAACAAAATCAGCGACTTGTTTCATGGCCAAGCCCAACTGTATAAAGTCATGTATCTTTGGATGCCTCCTTTATGTCTAAAGTGTGCCATTGAGCTTGAAATACCAGACATAATCCACAAACATGGTCAGCCCATCCCTCTTTCTCAGTTGGTATCAGATCTCAAAGTTCCACCCTCTAAAACTACCTTTATAAGAGGGCTCATGCGCTTGCTGGCTCACAATGGCCTCTTCGCTATCATCAAAAGCAACAACAGTGAAAAGGAATGTGAAGTATCATATGATCTCACTTCGGCATCAAAACTTCTTGTGAGTGGCACAGACCATTGTTTATCTCCAGTGGTTCAATTGGTAGTAAACCCTACTATAATTGATTTGTATCATCACCTGGGGAAATGGGTTCATCAGAAGGAAAATTCAGTGAGAGAGACAATGGTGCAAGGCCTTACGACTTTCTTAAGCAAAACCCAGAAGATTTGGCGTTAGTGCAGGAAGCAATGGGTAGTGATACAAGATTCATGAAACTGGCACTGATTAGAGACTTGGAATCCGTTTTAGATGGATTAGGTTCCATAGTTGATGTTGGTGGTGGAAATGGTGCCACGGCTAAGATTATCAGTGAAGCATTCCCCAAGTTGAAATGCACAGTGCTTGATCTTCCTGAGGTTGTTGCAAACTTATCTGGAAATGCAAATTTGAGTTTTGTTGGTGGGGACATGCTCAAATCCATCCCTCATGCTGATGCAGTTTTGATTAAGGTACGTACGTATGTATGTCAGTAGCTCTGTAATCCATCACACTATCCTACTTAAGTTGCATTATCCATCCCTCGCACACATATCCTGTTTTAATTAAAGGGTTAAGGTGCACCCAGCACCCCCAAGTATTTTGCCAGGTACACCCAGTGGCTTAAAGTAATTTATGGTGCAATTTTACCCTCAAAGTAATTAAAATGGTGCACCGGTATCCCATACTAACAGATCTGTTAGTTTAACCGTTAAATTGATGAGTCAGCACAAATTTGACCAGAAAATCTGACGTGGCATGTCTAATAAGCAGGTGATGTGGAATTTTTTCGGGGTTAAGGTGCATTCAGCACCTCCAAGTATTTTTCCAAGTGCACCCAGTGGCCTAAAGTAATTTATGGTGCAATTTTGCCCTCAAAGTAATTAAAATGGTGCACCGATATCCCATACTAACAGATCTGTTACTTTGACTGTGAAATTGATGAGTCGGCATAAGTTTGACTAAAATAATCTAACCTAGCATGTCTAATAAGCAGGTGACATGGCTTTTCTTGTTAATTCCATTGTTTTGTCTGAATATTACTCCTTTGGTCTTATTTATAAGGCACTTCCACTATGTTTCACACAGACCAAGGAAAACCCTAAATTTCATTAACTCTCATTTAAATTTTAATAACTTTCCAACTTTATCCCTATTTAATATACATTATACCTCATATAAACAAAGTCAATACAATAATAAATGAGGGGTAAATTTATACATCCATACAAAAAATTTCTCTCAGTGCCTTATAAATAGGACCAAAAAATATCTTTTCTCTCTACCCTATAAATAGGACTAGAGGAGTATCTCTAAAAAAATTTCTTACTCTGAAAAAGATTCCAAGAGCCGAAGAAAGCATTTACTGAACAGAGAAAACAAAGCAGTGGTAAACGAAAAAAATTCCACATCACCTGCTTATTAGACATGCTAGGTCAGATTATTTTGGTCAAACTTGTGGTAACTCATCAATTTCACAGTAAAAGTAAGAGATCTGTTAGCATAGGATACTGGTGCACCATTTTAATTACTTTGAGGGCAAAATTGTACCATAAATTACTTTAGGCCACTGGGTGCACTTGAAAAAATACTTGGGGGTGCTGGATGCACCTTAACCCCCAAAAAAATTCCACATCACCTGCTTATTAGACATGCCACGTCAGATTTTCTGGTCAAACTTGTACTGACTCATCAATTTAACGGTCAAACTAACAGATCTGTTAGCATGGGATACTGGCGCACCATTTTAATTACTTTGAGGGCAAAATTGCACCATAAATTACTTTAGACCACTGGGTGCACCTGACAAAATACTTGGGGGTGTTGGGTGCACCTTAACCCTTAATTAAATATAGTTTGAAGAGTAATGTTTTTATCACGTGCGGAAATTTGTGAACCAAAACATCAATTAGGATATATTAGCGAGAAAGGGAACAAAAGAAGTAAAAGGTTATATTGTTTTAATTCAATGGAAGCTACCTACTCTATCTTTTATGGCTCCAAACTTCACATAAATTAATTTGAAGATTTTCGTGATTTTGTACAATTTAAACACAAGCATGCACATAAACATGTTAACTTTAGACTCAAGTTTGGGACTACATCCAAGTGTAGTGTTTGACATTATCACTAAGATAACTTGCCGTTGAAGAATTATTTTAAAAAACTGTTAAAAGACCAAGTTTTAATATCACATCAAAAAAAAATATTTGAACTATCGAGCTCGTCAGAGTTGGCTTTCGATTATAATCTCCAAGATTATCAACTCGGTTGAACATTATCATTGCATATTGTTAGAATTGAAAAATAACTAGTGAGCACTAAGGATGTGAAATTATTGTCTATTTTTCTTACTATTTTCATTTTTGCAGTGGGTTTTACTTGATTGGGGTGATGATGATTGCATAAAGATACTTAAAAATGCCAAGAGAGCTATTTCAGGCAAAGGAAATGAAGGAAAAGTGATCATCATAGACATGGTGTTGGATGAAAAGCATGACCAGTATGAATGGCTAGAAACAAAGCTCCTAATCAACATAGCCTTGATAGCTGACCTTAATTCAAAAGCAAGATCTGAGGAAGAATGGAAGCAAGTCTTCTTGAAGGCAGGATTTAAGGATTACAAGATATTTCCTATATTTGGCCTTAGGTCTCTTATTGTGCTTCATCCCTAGATTTGGTTTGACTATAATCTATAATAACTAGTCTTATAAGACAAGCTACATGTTTGAACTAAATAAATGTGCAGTGGAATAAGATGGGCTATGATATTTCTGCAATTTTCATTATCTACCCATTAGTGCCAAAAAGAAACTGGACCCAGCTTAATTATATTAATTGCGACAGTGTCATTGAGCTATAACAAGCATTGATGTCTGCATCAAGTTATTGTGGAGTTAAGTAAAGAAATTAATTATTTAGTCCCCAAATTTTTTTTGTGGTGTCCTTAGTACCTAAAATTTTAACTCACAATTCAATTTCTTAAGTTTAACTTGTCTAATTTTTCCTCCTCCAGTCACGTAATCCGTAACTCCCTATACTTTCACAAAATTATTTAATCTTTTAGGAATTGAGTTCCAACTAAATCATTAAGTGTAGGAGTAAATGATTAATTTTCTCATTAAAATAATTTTCAGTGTACACCTGTTAGATAATTAAGTGGCATGGCTGGGTTAAGATTAAAAGAAGGAAATTAATGAAATTAGATGGCCAAGATTAGAACTTGTACGGAAATAATCCAATGGTTAAGATTAAAAAGATAATTTTAAAGTGCAATCTATCGGATCAAATTTCTAGTCTAGAAGGCCAAGCTGAAGGCACTTTTGGAAAGTCAACTACGGATTAAATCAAGTTTAATCTGAGATTGAATGATTGTAGTTAGAAAAGTCAAGAAAATTTTGGGGGACTTTGAGATAAATAGTCTATTTTTTATTTATCTTGATAAGCTAATTGAATTAGCTTACCACAAAATAAATTAAAGATAGCTTATTTCAAATACATCTCCATATTTATCTCAAACTTTTTCCTCCAATTCCCTCTTACTCCCCGAACTAAAATCGGTTTTATAATTTTAAACAAGCTCCCCCTAAACTGATATGCAAGGACTGAAAATGCATTTAGCCATGATACTTAACATTTATATATCTCCCATTTCAGGCATTCTTTTTCATCGTGATCAGTCACAAACATTTTAATAAATTTGAATAAATTAAAGAAAAGTGAGTTGACGTGAGCAGCTGTCTATCTTATTTGTAATTTCCTTATAACCCATATTTCTAAAAAAAAATGAAAAAGTTTGGGGAGTAAGAGACTAAAAAGATCGTTCTATCTTATATGTAAGACGGGAGAAAGTAATAAAGACTAAAAAGACAGTTTTTTGGGGAACGAGAAAGGGTGTTACACGATAAAAAATCACACGTAATATATTTTTTACTTATTTTTATAATTTTTCTACTCGTAAATGCTTTATTGATGGTGGAGTAATATAACATTAATGGCATTGCTAGTGGTTACCCATTCATGATCCCATAAAATCTGCTTCATTACTTACTACTCATATTTCATACAAACTAAGAAAAATTTTAAATTTTATTAACTCATTTAAAATTCAACTACTCATCCTGTTCTTAATATAGGACTTAATTGTTCAGTTGATTTTGGTCCTAAATATAAGACATATTTCTCTTATTTATCAGTTTTGTTCTAAATTATCCCTATTGATACTCCCTCAAGTATAATCAAGTAAAAGAGGGAGGGAGGATATTAAGGAAGATGACTATGGTGTTTTAAGAAAAACATATTATATTTCTTATAATTAACTAATTTACCTAACTTTCTTAATCTAATCAAATTAGTTAAATAGGTCTTATATTAAGGACCAGAAGAATATTTTTCAACTTTATCCCTATTTAATATAAATTATACCTCATGTAAACAAAGTGAACATAATCATAAATGAGGGGTAAAATTATACACCCATACGAAAAAAATTTCTTGGTACCTTATAAATAGAACAAAAAAATATCTTCTCTCTGCCTTATAATAGCACCAGGGAAGTACGTTGTCCTTCCTGAGGTTGTTACATATTGACATGGGCAAGTGTCCATCTTATTTGTAATCTTACAAGTAGCCCAATTTTTTATCGTGTAAACTAATCAATTTTTTTTTCCCATTTTTCCCTTATAAGATACAGATACACATTTTGGTGGTGTGGCTTGATCCTATTTACAAGATACATTTAACAGATGTTAAAAATTTTTCATTTTTCCCATTAATTACATGTTACTAAACTTATATTTTCAACCGAAGAGAGTATATCACTACATTGATTGTCTTCCACGCATTTTTTTCCTATTCATCCTCTTTCTCATTCACTTTCTCTCTCCTTAAATAAAGGCAGTATTATTTTAAAAAATAAAATAAAATATATATTTTTAACATTATCCCCTTTACTTAATTTTAACCATTTTTTATTTATATTTTATATATATATATATATAGGATTAGATAGAGTATCACTCCGGTCTCTTTTAATTGTCACTTGCAATAGTTTCTCACATACCAAGGAGATTATTAAATACATCAAAACTTCTACTTTTACCTTTATTAAATAGCTAATATATTTTTTCTCACCCATTCCCTCTCTCCTCATCTTTACATGTGTTTCCCTTAATTAGTAAAGGCAGAATTGGAAACGAATCATTAAAAAAGATACAAATGACAACTAAAAAGAATCAAAATCTTCTCCTACCAGTGACAATTAAAAAGTACTCTCTCATTCCCTTATTATAAGATCCTTTTAACTAAATTGCGTGATTTACAAAAATAATTAAAATTAGTTAACAGCAATTAATATGCAGCAAATGCAATTTTTTTCCAAATATACCCTTATATATAAATGAGTCAATGTGAGAGAGTAATAGTGAGATAAATGAAAAAAGAGAATGTATTAAATGCATTAAATTAAGGGTAAAATAGCTAATAATGCATTAAATGCTTAGACAAACCCAAAGAGGATCTTATAAAAAAGAACAAATCTATTTAAAAAATTGGATCTTATAATAAGAGACGGAGTAGTATCATGATATTGTTTTGATAATAAAGAATCAAATTTAATGACATTAAGTATCCTTCTCATTTATAGCAAGACAATGAATGAGCTAATGTGTAGTCTTACATGCATGTTTTACACTCGGCAAAATCACAGTCCCCAACAACAAACCGAAACTCAATGCAGTGAATAAATTGTATGAAGGAAACGTATCTGCATCAATTCATTTGACAATTCCTGCTCTATCCAGCCATGGATGGAACAGGAGACAAAACAGCAGAATTGTTTCATGGCCAAGCCCAATTGTACAGACTCATGTATCTTTGGATGTCTTCTTTATGTCTAAAGTGTGCCATTGAGCTCGAAATACCAGACATAATCCACGAGCATGGCCAACCCATCTCTCTCTCTCAGTTGGTATCAGATCTCAAAGTTCCACCCTCTAAAACTACCTTTCTAAAAGGGCTCATGCGCTTGCTGGCTCACAATGGCCTCTTCACCATCATCAAAAACAACAACAATGAAGAAGAAAGCGAAGTATCGTATGATCTCACTTCTGCATCACGGCTTCTTGTGAATGGCACAGACCATTGTTTATCTTCAATGGTTCAGTTGACTGTAAGCCCAGCTTTACTTGATTTGTATCAAAACTTGGGGAAATGGGTTCGTGGGGAGGAGAATACACTGAGAGAGACATCGTTTGGCGTAGGTGTTTATGAATTCCTTGCTCAAAACCCAGAAGATTTGGCAGTCTTCCAAGAAGCAATGGCTAGTGATTCCAGATTCATGAAACTGGTAATGAAAGATTTGGAATCTGTTTTTGATGGATTGAATTCCATAGTTGATGTTGGTGGTGGAACTGGTACAACTGCTAAGATTATCTGTGAAGCATTCCCTAAGTTGAAACGCACGGTGCTCGATCTTCCTGAGGTCGTCTCAAACTTATCTGGAAACTCCAATGTGAGCTTTGTTGGTGGGGACATGCTTAAATCCATCCCTCGTGCTGATGCAGTGCTGATTAAGGCAAGTATATTCCACATAAAAAATACAACCTTGCATAACAAATTTAAATCTTGCATCTTCGCAGTTCTACAAGTTTTTCACTTTTAGATTAATTCATGTGATTTTCAGATATTATTCAAACACATGAAATACCTGGAATGATAGATTGCTATCTATTTTCGTTTTTACAGTGGGTTTTACATGACTGGGGTGATGATGATTGCTTAAAGATACTTAAAAATGCCAAGGAAGCTATTTCAGGCAATGGAAAAGGAGGAAAAGTGATCATCATAGATACAGTGTTGAATGAAAAAGAAGAGCAGCATGAAGTGCTAGAAACAAAGCTCTTACTCAACATAATGCTGGCGGCTGAATTCAATTCAAAAGAGAGATCCGAGGAAGAATGGAAGAAACTCTTCCTGAAAGCAGGCTTCACAGATTACCAGATATTTCCCATATTTGGCTTTAGGTCTCTCATTGTGCTAAATCCTTAGATTTGGTGGGAATCTAATGACTAGTTTTACATGTTTTAAACAGAATAAATTTGCAGCGGAACAAGAGTTATGATTCTTCTGCAATTTCAATGAGCTATAACATAGCGCTATAAAGAAATTGTTCCCCATCTTATAACTGCGGCTGAATCATCTAGCAATTTATAAACATTCATGTCTACATAAAGTCATTACCCAGTTGAGTGAAAAAAAATAACAAAGTTATTATTGATGAATGAAAAAAAAACTAATTTGTAGAGTGCATCTTTTAAAACATGTTAGAAGACAAGAAAGAAATCAAAATAGCACTATATCATGCACAGTTATAACCATTAAAGGGAATGAAGTAAGCGACCTGAATTGTCGTATTTCTCCCTTGCTCAATTCTGAATCAATTGAGTTTCCAGCACCTAAGAGCATCGTATTATGCATAGAGATATATTGGCAGCTATTAGCGACGATCTGGGCCAATGAATCCACTTCAAAGGCTCTGTTTCTATACTCAACTGTGCATCATATTATACCAATACACCACGCATGAATTGGTAGCAGTGGAGATCAGTATCAATCTGTTTGATGGAATGAACAGCTCTATAGAGTTAAAATCACCAGTCAAGTGATATCCATGTTTGATACAAACCAAATATTTGCATCAGATATGATAAAGCCATTCAAATAACACTTGGACAATTAAAAACTTGTTACCTTCCAGTGTTGGATGTCCATGTCATGTGCCAAGTCGATGTTAATATTTATGTTTCTTAGGCTGCAGCCAGGCGTCTCACTAGTTTAATGACAAACTACCTTCATTTTCTTGCTTCATGTAACCTTGCCCAACCACAAATTTTGTTCATACTTACAAATCTATTCAAAAATTAATCTCATTCATTGTATTCCAAGATCCTATTCATTGGACTGTGGCTTGCTTTTTAACCTTCATGTTTCATCTCCATCGTTGAACAGTCAATAGGATATTGAATATCTCTTCACTTTCAGGGTGTCTCTTGTCTCTAAACACTAAGTAATTCACAAACCCAGCAATCTCAAGCCAACTACATCCTGTTTCCTTCTGCAAACCTTTTTTCTTCATCTGAATGATCACTTTTCAACATTTTCCCACTCTTCTTCTAAATGCATGTTTGAGACCCTAACATGGTAGCCTGCTATCCTTTTTTGTGACAACACAACGAGCAACTTCTTGGCAATAACTTCACTTAATTCAAAGTGTCCATGGTCTCTGCAAGCACCAATAAGCGATCCCCAAACTTCTAGGGCATTTCCATCTTCACCTAATCCATTGACAAAGTCAGGCTTCGAGCACCCTCCCTGACATGTCAGTAACACAGCAATAGTGTTCAGCTGAGGTTTTATCTGTTTTCTCGTAAAGTCGAGTTCGCCACAAAATAAACAAAAATTTTAGACATTCACATCAAGAAGCCTTTACAAAAATGTCTCTCTTAATCGTGATTTTTCTTGGCAACCCATATTTTAAAAATTAAAAAGAATATAGAAAGAAAAATTAGGGAATAATGACACAGATTTTATGGCACCATAAACGGGTAACAACTAGCAATCCCATTAGTCCCCCATTAATCTTGACTAAGGGAGGTTTCTTTGGTGTGTCATCTTGCTCAATATTTCTAACCAAAACAGCATGTGACCTCTAGACAGTTTTGAATTTGGATACTTTCAGTCAAACAAATGGTAGACTATTTTTTGAAATGTCTGTCACAAGTTGTTCCAGCAGCAACATTACGGTTGGATAAGGTTCCAAACTTAACATTGATATATTTTGATATATTTGTGAGTGCGTGTTTAAATTATATACTATTAGGAAAAAGGTTTTTTTTTTTGAAGTAAATAGAAATACAAGTTTTTTTAAAGTGAAAAGTTCGGGTGAATTAAATTTCAAAGCTCGCCAGAATTAAAATAGATCTCGTGGCTCACAAAGCAGTGACAAAAATTACTGTTAGCGACAGAAGTTTTATGGCACCGTGAATGGTTAAAAATTAACATGTCCATCATCCACCTTTAATCTTGCTAGTGTTTCTTTAACGTGTCACCTTTCTCAATTTTTTTGACGGCATTAGCATTAGCATGTGAGCTAGAGGCAATTAACAAATTAAAATCCTTTCAAATAAATAAATAAATAATAAAATATCAATAGAATATTTTTAAAATCAATAAATTTTCAAAAATAACAAGGGAAAAAAATATATTACAGACAATTTTTATGTGTCACTTTCCCCATCAGTCTTTATTATTATTTTAATTGAGAAGAATCAACATTTAATGACAGAAGTATCTCTTTCATATACAGGAAGACAAGGGCGCTGATGTGTCGCTCCAAGAACAAAAGCTTACATGCATGTTTTGCACTTGGCAAAAGCACAATTACCAATCAGGAAAGGAAACTTAATATAGCTAACAAATTGCCTGAAAGAAATGTACCTACAACAATTCATTTGGGAAGCAATTCAGCCAGGCTCAATCAATGGATGGAATAGGAGGCAAAACCAGAGAGCTGTTTCATGGCCAAGCCCAGCTGTACAAACACATGTACTTCTGGATGTCTTCGGCATGTCTGAAGTGTGCTATTGAGCTTGAAATACCAGACATAATCCACAAGCATGGCCAACCCGTTTCTCTTTCTCAGTTGGTATCAGATCTCAATGTTCCACCCTCTAAAACTACCTTTGTGAAAGGGCTCATGCGCTTGCTGGCTCATAATGGCCTATTCACTATCATCAAAAGCAACAATGAAGAAGAAAGTGAGCAATCATATGATCTCACTTCAGCATCACAGCTTCTTTTGAGTGGCACAGATCATTGCTTATCTCCAATGGTTCAGTGGGCCCTTAGGCCTACTAGGCTTGAGATGTATCAACATTTGGGAAAATGGGTTCGAGGGAAGGAAAATACACTGAGAGAGACAGCATTTGGGGTAGGCTTTTATGACTTCCTTAATCAAAATCCTGCAGATTTGGCGGCCTTCCAGGAAGCAATGGCTAGTGATTCCGCATTCATGAAAGTGGCACTGAGTGACTTGAAGTCCGTTTTTGAGGGCTTCAGTTCCGTCGTTGATGTTGGTGGTGGAACTGGCACCACTGCGAAGATTATCTGTGAAGCATTTCCCAAGTTGAAATGCACAGTGCTTGATCTTCCTGAAATTGTTGCAGGTTTATCTGGAGACACCAATTTGAGTTTTGTTAGTGGGGACATGATCAAATCCATCCCTCATGCTGATGCAGTTCTGATTAAGGTAAATAACTAACCATACCATCTTCAAAACGCCAAACATTATTCATGTATTGCAGATGCTAATTTCAAATGAAATGAGTTGAGTTAATTTTCATTACAATTTAAACTTTATGTAATGTAATCATAATTAAACTATATTGTAAAGAGATGTGTAATCTCTCCTATTCTTTAACGCTCTGGGACCAGGGCCCTTTGAATAAACAATTATATTAATTTTTTTAGTTTTAGTATTATAAATTCCTGATTTTTTTTCTTGTTATGATACAATAATTAACAAAAATTATTAAATATAACATGATATTTTCCTAACTAATAATTTTTCATAAAAAATTTAATCATTATTTTAAAAACTATTGATCATTCAATATATTAGTATTTTTAGACAAATAATTCTTGCATTATTACATGTTTAGCAACAATATGTCATAGTTAAATTCTCTCTGAGAACAAGAGAATATAGACACGATCAAATTGGTGTCTATATTACATAAAGTTTAATTATGAAAAGGAGAGGAGAGACCCACATAAGTGAGACTTAGTAAGCCCCACATCTATTTTAATCCCAAGCTTATATTATCATCACTTTAATTTTTCACCGCGAAGGCTTTTAAGATTGCATTATCTAAATTTTCTTTTAATAAATTTGTTATGAAGTTAGGGAGAAAATCATAAAATGAAAAGCTAAAGCCTATGGGGCTGACTCAGAGGATCGCACCCATAGTTTTTTCCTCTCTCCAGTTCTACCCAAAATTTAAATGACGATTTAGAAGAATTCAATCTCAACTTCGATTTAGCACAAGAATATTTTGACTATTAAGGCCATAGTCAATGCTTATTGTAATCAAGAAGATTTTCAACTTAGCTAGACATTAGAAATTGCACACTGTTAACTTTCAAACACGAAATACTTGGCATATTAAGCTAGTGTTTGTTTTTCACCTTTACAGTGGGTTTTGCACGATTGGGGGGATGATGATTGCATAAAGATACTGAAAAATGCCAAAGAGGCTATCTGTGGAAAAGACAAGGGAGGAAAAGTGATCATCATAGACACGGTGTTAAATGAAAAGCAAGACGAGCATTCACTGATGGAAACAAAACTCCTTTACAACATTATTTTGATGGCTGAGTTCAATGCAAAAGAGAGGACTGAGGGAGAATGGAAGCAACTATTCCAGAAAGCAGGCTTCACAGATTACCATATGTTTCCTATATTGGGCTTTAGGTCTCTCATTGTGCTTCATCCTTAGATTTGGCTGGAACCCAATAGCTAATAACTAGTTTTACATGTTTTAAACCGAATAAATTTGGAGTAGAACAAGAGGAACTATGATATCTCTGCACTTTAATTAGCTACAACATAATGCTATAGAAAAATTTGTCCCCATCTCACAAGAATAGCCGACTGAATCATCTACCAGTTAAAAAGCATTCATGTTTCTACATAAAGTTATCAACGAGTCAAGAGACGCAACAACAAAGAATCAAACATTAAGTCGAGCAATCTGAAATTTCTCATCCAATAGCTATTCCAGATGCTAATGGTTCCTTGCAGTCAACAATCCATCATAGTATTCCAGTCACGCCTCTGTTAAATTAGACTTCTTTTTCGCTTTCATTTGATAAGTCACAAATTTTTTAAAATTCATTTTAGGATGATGATTCTACTCTTTTTTATTTAATTATTGTCCTCTGAACCCAATTATTTTTACTGGTTAGAATGTTCCGATATTTCGTGGAATACAGGCCCTACTTGATTATACCACACAGTCATTTCAAATATGAAGACTAAGGAGATATTCCAATTCATCACGGCCAGCTCCTATTTCATTTCCCATTTCAATTCCTTTAAAACTCTTTCTTGTACCCTAAATAGGCCCTTAGTGACAGGGATATGCCGAAGGCAATATAATAACTTCAAATTTTGCATCATAACACCCAAGTCACTCGGCACACGCAAAATCCAGAAACATAAAACCTAGTATAGACCGCCTGATGAATGAATCAGAATATAGTATGTTAATTGTACAGCCTTAAATGTTAAAATTGGTTAATCGTGTCAATGGGTTTCAAGAAAGAAATCAAACTAGCACAATATCAAGCCTAGTTATAGTTAGATAGAAGAAGACAAGAATATTAGCTTAGGACACGGAAGTGACGTACCTGAGTTGTCATCTTTCTTTCCCTTGCTCAGTTCTGAATCAATTACAATATGGATGGTTATATAACCTCCCTTGGTTGACCTTCCGGCTCTTGAATGCGTCATATTACATATGGACACATTCAGGAAGCTATTAGTGACAACTGGACCGAAGAATACACTTCACAGTTTCTGTTCCCACGTTCAACGGTGCGTGAATTGGCAGCAGTGGAAAATCAACATCAATCTGTTTCAAGGAGAACAGCTTGATTAAGTCGAAGTTTCAGATAGAAAAACTCACGCCAACTAGGCCCGAAAAAAATTAACTATAAAGCATGGAGACATTAAAAAAGCTGTATCCACATTTAACACAAGCCAAACATTTGTATTAGATATACCACATCATTTTTAGTTACACCTCGACTCTACAAGGTTCATTACCTTGCAGTGTTTACACCTTGATTGTGCAACCAAGCCGGTGACAAGTATAATGACAGGATTCCTTCATTTTCTTGCTTTCTGCAATCTTGACCATGCATTTATTTATGTTGACAAAAAATTCACCTCATTCATCATATTCCAAAATCCATAATTTTGGGCTGCAACATGCCTTATAACCTTCATGCTTCATCTCCATAGTTAACCTGTCAAGAATACTATATATCTCATCACTTTCGGGGTGCCTCTCATCTTTAGATACAAAGCAGTTCACAGACCCGGCAATCTCAACCCAACTACATCCTGTTTCCTTCTGCAAACCTTTTTCCTTCATCCGAATTCTCAATTTATCAACATTTTCCCACTCTCCTTCTTCTGCAAACATATTTGAGAGCAAAACATGGTAACCAGCTATCCCTTTTTGTGTCTCCATATCAAGCAACTTATTAGCAATATCTTTTCCCAATTCAAAGTATCCATGATTTCTGCAAGCACCAAGAAGTGATCCCCAAATTTCTAGTGCATTACCATCTTCACCCAATCCCTTGACAAAATCATAGGCTTCAAGCACCCTCCCCTCCCTCCCTAACATGTCAGTAACACAGCAATAGTGTTCAACTGAGGGTTTAATTTTATGTACTTCATCCATAGAGTCAAATATTTCCATACCTTCATCAACCATACCAGCATAACCACAAGCAGACAAAATGGCAACGAAAGTAACTGCATCAGGTTTATGGCCAGAGCCCAGCATAGAATGAAACAGAGAAAGAGCTCTCTTGCCCATCCCATGCTGGCCATAACCCAACATCATTGTGGTATATGTGACGGAATTCTTCTCAGGTATACTAGTAAACACATTTTCCGCATAACTGATTGCACCTGATTTGGAATATGTGTCAACCAAAGCAGTTCCCACATAAACATTTAGGTCCAAGCTGTGACGAATGGAGAATCCATGAAGTTCCTTGGCGAATGCTACGCTTCCCATTGAACTACAGGCTGGAAGAATTGATGCTAAAGTCACAGCATTAGGTGTTACCCTCTGCTCAAGCATCTCTCCAAGAACCAGAAAGGCTTTTTCATGCCGCCTATTTTGTGTGTAACCAGCAATCATCGCATTCCATGTAGAATGATCTTTATCAATAGGACAGTTTTGCTTAAATATCCATTCTGTAGTTTTAACCAAACCGCATTTTGCATACATATCTATAAGATAGCTCTCCATTCCCTCGAATTGTATCCCATGACGAATTGCATAAGCGTGAGTCTGCTTTCCAATATATTTGTTCCTAAGATTAGATGCTGTGGAAAGAAGAGACGTCACAGTCACAGAATCAATCATAAACCCTTGGTTCTGCATCTCATAGACAAGCAACAGTGCTTCTTCATCCAAACCATTTTGCACAAAAGAAGAAATCATGGTATTCCATGAAACTACATCCCTCTCAAGCATCTTATGGAAAACTTTGAATGATGTATCGATTGAATTGCACCTTGAGTACATAACAATAATTGCATTGAGAATAATAATTGATAAAGTTGCCATACTTTTTAAAATAAAAGCATGTAGCTGCTCAGCCATTTTTATCTGCTGCAACAGTGAAATAGCCGTTAGGGCGGATAGAAAAGTCACATCATCACACACAGCCTCTTCTGATTCTAAGGCTTGAATAAAAATGCCGACTGCTTCAATTGGGCAATTATTTTGAACATAGCCACCAATCATAGTGTTCCATATCTCAGTATTCCTCTCTTTACATTGTTCAAAAATCAACCTAGCATGGCTAAGGCAGCCAAGCTCAGCATACATATTAATAGTTGAGCTCAAAACAAACACATCCTCCACATACTCGCTCCCAAATTTATGAAGCAAACCATAAATTATATCAGCAATCTTATAATCTCCCAAGCTCGACACAGCGGGGAAAACATTCACAAAACTGACAGAACTTGGCATTATTCTCATTCTCATCATCGTGCTGAATAATTTAACTGCTTCAGCGTGCGCCTCCATCTTCACATACCATGACACCAAGGTATTCCAAGCAACAACATTACGTTTACGCATCAAGTTGAACACTTTAAGCACATAATCATTCTTCGAACCACAATATTCCACACCACTCAAGCACGCAGAGTACATGTTCAAGAGCGAGTTATAAACAATCCTACTGGGATTTGGGTTAGATTGGCACCGAAGAAAATGGCAATGCACAGCTTTACCAGCTCGAAGATTTCGCGTTTCAGCACAGGCCTTGAGAGTGGAAGAATAAGTATAAGAATCGAATCGAGTACCCGGGGAAGACTTCATTTGACTGTAGAACAGCAAGGCTTCCAAGGGCATATTGTTGCAGATGAACCCAATGATGATGGTGTTCCAGAGAACAGTGGAAGGGCGAGGAAGAGTGTCGAACAATTGGCGGGCAAGGTGAGGCTGACCTTCTTGACATAGTTTGCTCAGGCGAGAGCGAATTGAAGGGGTTTTGAGTGTCGGGTTCGGAATTGACAAGAGTGAGGAGGAATCAGTAGTGTCAGTGGAGAGAGAATGTGAATTGGGAGAGGATAGAGGAAGAGGAAGAAAAGGGGAAGCAGAGGAAGCCATGGAGGAGTTGGAGCCTTGGCTCTTGACTCTTGTGAATAAGCTGCGGATAGATAGTCATCAGAAACGAAGGGACCTACCCAAAAAACAAAGGTGCTCCATACATAATTTCCAATGAAAAAGTATTTGGGGGGAACCAAAAATTTTACAGTACAAAAGTATATAAGAATAATTTTGTTCCCATTAACATAAGAATATTTTTTTAAAAGTGTTTTTTTTATTTATCTAAATACCTCCTAAGTTAACTTAACTAATTCATGAAAATAAGAAAAATTACTTAAATTTCTTATTTCTGTTATGATATTGGGAAAAAAAAGGACAATAGTTTGAAATCATCACCAACTAAGCCAACTGCCAATCTATACTTCTAAAAAAGTTTTTCATTAATATTACATCTGTTTCTAATTATAAGATCTTGTTTATAAACTATAAATAAGATTTTATAATTAGGATTGAAGATAGTATTACAGAAATTTGCTTCCTTTGAACCTTGTTGATTCCTCTTAAGGCTTTGGGCCCTCCATTTGTATCTAAAACCAGAAATCCTACCGGAGAACGTTTTCGGCTTGGAATTTCTTTAAATACATGACAAACTCTTAAAGTATTGTTTAGTAGAATCGAGAATCATTGACATCCAAAGACTAGTCAGATAATTGTACTTTGCAATTCAAATTTGTGTACTAATAATCTTCAAAGTGGGCCTTTACTAGTTTTTCTATACTTAAATATATCTCCCATTTTCCTAAGAAGCTAAATTTCGAATCTCAATTAGAAAAGACATTCATATTTAGGGGGTGTTTGGCAAGATGGAAAAGTACTTTTCTGTAAAACGAGAGAGACTCCTCCACATATTTACTTCGTATACTGTAAAAACACTTTTAAATCATGGTATGTCTTCCATCCAAACACCTCTAGTGTTTAATAGTGTCTCAAATAGAATTGTCTTTAAAACTAGGGGTGTAGAAAAAAAATAAATAAATGTCTCCCCTTTTTACTGCTTTTTGTGATAGGAAAATTAAAAAAAAATATGAAACCTAAAATAAAATAAATATTTAATGAGAAAAATCAAT